TCTGTATATAATGTGTAAAGTAAAAAATGTGTTATGTAGTAAAAGTGTCTGATCAGATTTTTTTTATAGTAACGACAACAATTACAACATAAAAATTACAACAACAGTGACAATGATAGCAATAATGACTATCATCAATGATTAAAACTCATCGAAACACATCAGTATTTCTGAAGCTAGAATTATCTTTTAACGCGTCATTGTGCGTTTTATATTCCATGATTGTGTCCGGTGGTAGATTTAAGACTCGTTTCATCGTATCCCTAGACAATACAAAAAATGTGAATCATCGAGACGAGAAACAGAACGAATTTTATTTCACATGTTTACCGAGAAAGTAATCAATTTTTTGTTTACCTTATTTTTAAGTTGATTCGTCCTTCGTTAGCGGATTGATTCCACAGAGACAAAATGTCCTCAGAGCTGCGGATGGATAAAACCGCACCACAAATTTCCGTACCAACATCAAATTGGTCACCGATGACAGCCATTACCTGTATATAGGCGAATGTAAATAAATGATATACGAACATGTCAGTGAACGAGACATATTTCATTTGTTATGGGGGTGGAGGGTTTTCTTGATAAAAAATCATGTGATGAATCGAACAATCATAACGAGGAAAAAAACATACCAAACTCTCCCAATATCTGCTAGCCAATCCTTTTCTTAAGCGCACAATCCATTTCCCCCCATTGATATTAGTTTCATCCTATTTCGAAAATATTAATAAGTTTAAAAAACCACATTGTTTTCTACTCAATTCTTCTCTCCTCAATATAAAAACATAAGCATACCTCCCATACAGGCCTTACGCCCTGCTTGAATAGATGATAATCACTAATATTTGGCAATTCATGAGGTCTCCGAAGATGACTATAAACCTTCCAGAAATCTTCAATCTATATGTGATTTCCCCACAGGTGTATGTTTTATTGGTTAATTACATGCATGTAAGATGGAGGAGTCGGAGAAGGAAAGAAAAAAAGAGAAAGAAAAAAATTCCAATTGATTAATTTTACTTTAGACGATTAAGAAATGAATATAATTGTCCGTACCCGGAAATGTATTTCTCAACCCACCGAAGAAAAGGCCGCAATCTTCTTCATTGAACTCTCATAATTCAATATTTTACTACCAGGTGTACGATGCATAAACCAAAATACCCACGTGAAATGTAGCGGATGGATATCGCTCGTAGGACTTGGCGTGAATTGTTGACGCGCCAATCCTACCACCAATCCGTTGGCAACAGTAGCATTGACCACAACACCACCACTTCCATTCTCCTTTTCCTTAATATTTTGCTTATCATCATTGGCTATCCCGACTACGTTTCCACCACCGATACTCCCACGATGCTTACCAAAGTAACTACCACCACTTCCGACCAACCCGGATCCTACAAGTGGTGTCGTTGGTGTCAGTATGACGCTTGAGGTGGAAATGTTCGGATTTGGCGAATTTGTGCGTTTCAGTTGAATTAGTTTGGCTGAAGTAGTAGTCGAGGTTGGAGTTGTTACATTCGTTGCACTTGCAATTGTGGTTGTGGTCGCACTTGTATGGTCGGTATTCACGGTTAAACGATTGCTACTTGATATTCATTTGGAAAAAAAATTAATAATCGGAACACATAGTTCGTCCAAGTTGAAATAACTCGTGTCTATGTGTATGTTAAATCACGTTCCGACTAATGGAATTTTATAGCTAATTTGCATTCGGCCAGAAAGTCCCCAACTCGTCAATCAACAATTGACTGATTTTTAATTACCTGCGTTTCGACCAAACCGAATCCATTCCTCTTTTGGTAAGACCTCTAATTTAAAATGAAAAATTGTGCAATAACGACCGCTAAAAGAATGAATAAAACATAGATTTCTTGATTTGAAATTCATCGAAGATACGTACGCATCGTTAAACCTCCATAACAAAGAGTACAGTGTAAATGGATTGCCTTACCTGGGAGAACTAAAATGAACCACAAGCTATGTAAATGTATGTTGTTCTTGTTGATATTGTTATTGGTTGTTATAAAGCTTTAGATTAAAAGCGATGACTCAAGGTTTGATGAAAATAGCACTAATGTCTAGATGTCCTTTTAGATTAATAAATAGTAACCACTTCGAGTTTTTCAAAGTTTAAGATACACTAGTAGGATTGAGAGAACGTAGCGGGCTTTCCTAATGATTGGTTGAAAATTTCTTGAATTCTATTGAGTAAGTGGCCACCAGATCATCACATATCACGATATTGATAGAAGATGCAGGTTTTGTCGATCCGGAAAAATTTCCACTGAAATCAGGGTGTAAAAATTCTAGGTTTAAGTTTAGCGTTAGGCTTTTCGTTTTTTTTTTTTTGGTGTCGGGATTTTTTTTCCGGGCCGATTAAAATCTGTGTCATCCTTATTGGTTGTTGGATTTTACAACCATCGAGGTTGTTCGTTTTTGGAAAGTTCGTTAATTAGCATTATAGATCACGTGCTTTAGCTTGAATTATAGCTTGATGCTGACTGAAATTAGCATAAATGTGAACCGGAATTAATGTTAATACCAGCCGCAATGTAGCAAATGAATTTAATGTGCGCTTTTGTTTCCTAAACCTATTTCTTTTTCTCGACATTATAAACACCATATTACTCTCGTCTTAAAACGTTTCAAAATCCAACAAGAAGAATAAATTAATAAAAAAAAACAGAACAAAAAATGACAGACAAATTACCGCCAAACCTATTAGCGCTCTTTGCACCGCGACCGCCCCTTCCGTACGCAAAACCTCTAGATCGAGATCCGACGAAACGAAAGGGCCGTCAGATAACGGGTATTGGGCAGTACGTCAATCTCTTGTCAAACTATGATCCTGATTATGTGCCAACTGAGACTATCGAGGAAAAGAAAAAACGAAAAGTGGGTTGAATTGGTTCGAATATTTGAAGAACTAGAATTCTTTTCTGTTGGATTTTTTTCTATCTAGTAGTAATCTATCACTAACGCGTACGTGTCTTTTTCATGGGGATAATTTTTTTTAGCTTGAAGAGAAAAAACAAAAGGCTGAAGAGTCCATCAAAAAAGGACTTGAAGAATGTATTTATGACATTTAATTGGATTCTTGCGTGTTCTATGGATTGATTATTCTGTCCCATCATAAACTAAAATTATTTCTTCCCTCTTTTTAAATATAGGGGATCCAAACAAAGATATGAATGTGACAGGGGATCCGTACAAGACATTATTCGTCGCGAGGATGGTAACGAATTAAAAAATTGCAAAACATAAAGCAAACATAAATCTGATTTTATTAGCTTTCTTTTTGTTTTGTTTGAATTTTCAATAGTTGAACAAGTACCGCAAGTAATTATACATATTTAAAAACGCTTTGATTTTTTATCTAATTCAATATTGCTCTCTGCCATATTTTGTAGAGCTATGAGATCACGGAAAAAGACTTGAGGCGTGAATTTGAAATGTATGGACCTATCGAGAATGTGAGTATTGTGTCTTTGATTATGTTACACGAAACACTAATCCGTATAATTTTTTTTATAATAATAATAATATTAAATGACCTACTTTATTGTTATTATCAGATACGTATTGTAAAGAATAAAAGTAATGGAGAGCCTCGAGGATATGCGTTTATTGAATTCGAGAGAGAAAAAGATATGAAAGGTAAAAAATTACTATTCCTCTTTTTCTAATTGATCGATCGATTTCACATATTAATGCTGCTATACATAAATAAAATTTATTCGAAATAATAATTATTGGAACAGCCGCCTACAAAGATGCTGATGGTGTGAAATTATTGGGTCGTCGTATTCTGGTTGATGTAGAACGTGGTAGAACCGTCAAAGGATGGAGACCTCGTCGTCTTGGTAAGCTATATATAAATAATATAAATCTTTCATACGCCACACTTATTTCCTACTAAATAATTTATTCTTTCTAACAATATATAAAAGGTGGAGGATTAGGAGGCACACGAATCGGTGGTCCAGATCAAAATCAAAAATACTCCGGACGAGAAGGATCCTATATGATGCACACAACGGGCAGCACTTTGGCCAATGGATCTAGTAATTACGATAGAGATTATCGCGGATACTCCTCCCGTAGCAGTGGTAATGGATATAGTGGTGGGTATGGAGGTAGCAGTAGTGGAAGATATGGTGGTGTTGGAAGCAGTAGTCGTCATGGCAGTGGATATGATCGTGATTATAGACGTCGCAGTAATCGCAGTCGTTCACGAAGTCCATACAAGGAAGATAGGTATAAAGGAAGGGATCGGGATCGAAGGCGAGAGCGTCGTTGAATCTAACATCATCTCCGCAATAGAAAGTAATACTAGACTTATAATTGTTTCTTAATGTTTTTATACAGTGGTCGTCATATAGAATGAGAATCGAATGTATTACTTTTATCTTCTGTAATTCGAAAACGGCGGATCCATTTTCAGCGATTTTGGGCATAAATAACTCGTAACATTCATTTAAGCCCAAAATTGTTGGAAATGGATCGACTGTTCTTGAGGTATCGGCATTTTTCGATGGTCGATTAATCCACAGAATCGCAAATTTAACTCGAAAGACATAAGAAAGATCGGTTAATCGAAAAATGCCAATATTTCAAAAACGGGCGATTCAATCTCGATAATTTTGGACTTAAATGAATGCTACGAACTTTAACATTTATCTAAACCCAAAAAACGGATCGGCCATTTTTTGAGATATCGGCATTATACGATGGTAATTTTCCAAAATTATACTAAAATATAATGCCAATACTTCGATTTATTTTCGATGATTTTGTTTAAGTAAATGCAAGGAGTGGTTCTTGAATTATATAATACGTTCCGATTCTCATTATTCATGGCGACCACTGTAATATCGTCAATTAAATTTGTTTTATTAGGAAATTCGAGAACTAATTGTAAGTAATCTTTATCTCCTAGATGTTGCCTTTAATATAAGGATTGCCATTGAAAAAAATTTCCTCTACGCGCACGAAGTAAGAAAAAGAAAGGCAAAGGAAAAAGGAACTCTAAAAATTCTTTTAGCATTATTTTTTTATTATTGTTATTTTTTTATCATCATCGTCACCTTTATTATTCATTAGGCTTGTTGGTTGGGTAAGTCTTATGTTTATTTATAATTTGAATTTCATCTTGGTAAGGATCTTTGGGAAGCATCATCTTCATCATCATCATCATCACACGACGTGGAAATAATGGTTTGTATACCTTTTTTTCGCGCAACACAACACTATTGCCTTCCCACTCTCTCTTTTCTTAATCGTAGTATAGTACAAATCAACTTTATAATCGATAATATCTTTTAGTTTCTTTCTTTCCATTTTGTAATGCATGCATTATTCACAAAACACATCACACACATTCTTATAGTATTATTTACATGCATACACATGATGGTGAGGATAATTACATTATATTCATTATACACTCGAAATAGTAAGTAATAGAGGTAAAAAAAACAAACATGGGTAAATTTCCTATCTATCTATTCATTTTGTTTTTTCTTATTGGGTAAGTGTGTGGGTAAGTGAATACAACATCTTTATCGTGTGTCTCCGTGTCCTATGAATTTAATTTTTGAAGTGACCATTTATAAATTTGGAAGATGATTTTTTTTTACATAAGTATGTATATTCATGGGTGAGTATGAATCGAGTAATGCCAATAGATGAACAAATCACAAGCACCCCCGGTTGATTAAACAGGTTTTTATGTCCAGATGTTTTTGACACGCACAAAGAAAGTAGCATGCATATGGAAAATTAATTAGTATTAACAAACATACACGTAGTCTATACATAACTTAACTGTGCATTGAGTGACATTAATCCTCTGTTTCGTGTAGGCTGATAGGCACATTAAGATTGATGTCATTCATTATGGTAGTTATCACAGCAGCAATACAAGTCAACCTCTCTATAACGACATTTTGATAACTTTTTTATATATTAAAAACAAAAATGGCCAAGATGTTTCATATAAATTCACACCTATCATTAATGATATGGTATCGTAATTCGCTTTGATGTTGGTTTTTTTGGGTACCAGTCGGCATTATTGAAAATCCGATACAAAATTCAATATTTTGATGAAATTCGCCAATCATTATATATAACCATGAAGGTTACCCAAATTTTACTAAGCACTGTGAAGAAGGTAATAGCAAAATGAAGCGTCACCCAAATAATTCGTTGTCCCTTTACCAAATTAACAATTTTCCGATTTCCTAGACAACAACCGGTATCTTCGGGCTTGCAGTACACCCAAACCCACGCCCGCACCTAATAAAAACATATAATGAAACGCTACAAGTTCTCGCACGACTTCCCGAGCATGCCGTCTACCGTCAGTCTGCGGAAGCGTTAACGCAACACCGACTGTCAATTGCCGAAGCCACCGAGGACATTAACGAAATCGAGAAAGGTATTGGTGCGGGACAGATTGAAGAAGTGATTTTGCAGGCGGAAGATGAGAAACAGTTGGCTGCTAAAATGGAAGAGTGGAAGCCGTGAGTACATTGTTTTGTTTGGTCGAGCTTTGTTGTGATTTTTTTGATTTGGAATCATATTATTATTTTTCAAGTGTCGTTTTTTTAGTTATTTTTATTTAATTTGATTTTTTGATTGATTAGATGGGAGCCACTTGAAGAACCACCACCCGCTGGACAATGGAATTATGACATGTTTAAAGAGTGAAAAAAATGAATTTTTGTAAAATAACAATGTTTTCTGAGAGGAAGGATTTAAAATTAAGTAAATTGTAATCCTCGTGAATAATTAATAGATTTTTTTAGTAAAAAAAATCCCGTTATATCAACTATATCGAGTAGATTTTATTAAAGGCAGTTTTGGATATTATCCATGATATCGTGAGTTTAATTAGTCTCCACTATAAAGGAGGTCCAGTGACACTGTGTAATTCTTGACGTTAACGAAAATAATAAAAGAAAAGATTGATGGTAGAACAGCCACCCCCTCAACACGTCATGCACCAAAAAATAGATTATAGAAAAACGGCATCATCAAAACTTTGCCACGCTTGCATAAGTGCATCATTATAAAATAAGTCGGTTCATAATTTCTTCCCACAACCACAATTAAGGGAAAGTTATAATTCGGGGGAGGATAAATTTTCCGCTCGTTACACGAAATATGGCCTGAACATATATTGTTGATGTTTAAAAATACTATTGCGACAAATACTGATCAGACACATACTTTGTTACTTATGGGAATTTTGCACGGAAAACTCGGGGATTTAAGCTCTATAACCACATCACAATCTATCTTCAACTGGTAAAACTCTAAACCTAAATCAAAAAATTTAAACGCGACTCTTTCTCCCCTCTTTACATATACAAGGTTCTCTTTTTACGATACGAGACATACAAAAGCTTGAATTCATTCCATAACTAAGTCAAATTGACGCGTGTGTCATTTTCTATCTTAGAATTAGTGTTAAATAAGATTTGGTGGTATTAATTGAGATAAAAACGGTTGATCAAAGCTCATTACAAGACAAGTAGCGAAATAATGACGAAGAAACGACGAGGAGGTAAAGGAAGCGAGACACATTCACAGAGTGGCGAGAATTCTGACGAGCTTCACACAAAAGTTAATGGAGTCTCAACAGAGGTATGTACGCATGTATGCATACTGTGGGAAAATAGAGGAATTATTTGAGGTTGTCATAACTTCATGCTTGACTCTTAGTTATAGGCTATACATCTTTCCTTATATTTTTGTTTATATTCTGTTCATAGTAGTTTATTCAAAATATAATAAGAAAAAGGTTACCGCTTGGATAGCACATGTATACTTTTCAATGTTATATATATACTCCACACAATTGTAACAAATCAAAAATATAATAATCAATCATTATAATTTCTATCCTAATAGGAAGATGCAAATGCGCGTGTCTCTGAAAAAAACATCACGGCCAAAGCTAAAAATTGGCGGAACATGATACAGCGGACAATCTGGACCTTTATAATGATTGGTGGGTTCTTTGCAGCAATAGCGGCCGGACACATGTGGGTTATTATGCTGGTAGTCGCTATCCAGACAATGGTGTATAAAGAAGTGATCGCGCTAGGAGTTCCAAGCAAGGAACAAAAGCTGCCATGGTTTAGAACTCTGAATTGGTAAGAGAAGATTAAGAAGAACCTGTTATGGGTTATTTAATTTTTTATTAATTGATTTTTTTTTTTTGCTTCAAGGTATTTCCTTGCAAGTACAAATTATTTCTTATATGGGGAATCCATAATCTATTATTTTAGAGAGGCGCTCTTGGTCGACGCTTTTCTTTTACCATTTGCTACGCACCATCGCTTTATATCATTTATTTTATATTGTATAGGTTTTTATTTTATTCATTTTTTCATTTTTTTTTTTGCATAGATTTGGTGCACGTAAATTTTTATAACTAATATTTTTTTAAATTTAATATATGTATATGTATTGATTTATAGGATTTGTCGTCTTTGTAGCAAACCTCGAGAAAGGTCATTATCAATTCCAGTTCCGACAGTTTGGATGGACACACATGACACTTTTGATTGTGGTCTGTCAAAGTCATTTCATCATTAACAATATTTTCGAAGGAATGATTTGGTACGTGAACTCAACTCTTTGATTTTATATATATAATAATTGTTCAATGTATAAATTTTTAATCGATCCAATTTACATATTAATAATAGGTTTATACTTCCTGTATCCCTTGTGATATGTAATGATATTTTTGCATATGTCTGCGGGAAACTGTTTGGAAAAAAGATTTTCGGAAACAGGATGCTGTTAAAGCTTAGTCCAAATAAGACATTCGAGGGATTTGTTGGGGCATGGATATGTACAATCATATTTGGTCTTTTGGTGAGTGACTGCGTTATATATTCGATCTCCCGTTGATCTCATGAATAATGTTTAATTGTTTTTTTATTTGAAGTGGGCACATCTTCTTATGCGATGGAATTACATGATATGTCCAGTAAAGGTAAGAATAATTTTTCGTAGCCGACATAGATATTTAGTAAATATGATTTCTCGTAATTCTGTTAACACTAAATTCATCCCCATCAATTAGGATCTTAGCGCAAATGTGTTCGCCGAATTAAACTGTGACATAAACCCAGTATTCATTCCTCAACAATATGTACTGAAACCATGGTTAGCGGGGCTGTTTAGACGAATAGTAAATATATTTCTCTGCTGTTTTTCCGTCCTTTAAAACCTATAAACTCTTATTAATATGGTTTGCTATTGGGAATTTATTGATTCAAAAAAAAAGACACATAGTGACATTCGTAGTGTATGGATTGCGCCTCTTCAGTGGCATGTATTTGTGATGGCGTGTTTTGCGTCATCAATTGCACCATTCGGCGGTTACTTTGCTAGTGGATTAAAACGAGCCTTAGGAAGAAAGGTAGAGTAAATTATAGATGCATCATAATAGCGATCGATTTATTTACTTGCATTTCTTGAATGGTTTTTGTTCGTGTTTTTCAAGATGTTTCATTCATTATTTGTTTACATAGGATTGGGGAGACTCTATTCCAGGACACGGTGGTATAACAGATCGCATGGATTGTCAGTTCCTGATGGGGATGTTTTCTTACATGTATTATCAGAGTTTCATCAAGGTATTTATTTCGATTCATACGTGGATTCGAATATTCGGTTTATTTCAATTATTCTATTTGATCTTTGATTCGATTATTGAATTTTGCATTTTACAACTGGGAATACTAAAACAGACATACGCGCACAAATGTATCTCCATTTCAACCGGCTCCATCCTTGAGTTAGTAGTCAACGACCTCGAGTCGTCGTCACAACTTGAACTGTATCATAATCTGCAACAGTATCTATTTGGACAAGGATTGTTGGATGAATGAACCTGTTGAAACGGTAACATACGCGAGAAAAGAACATTGACAAAAAAATGAAAATGATGATAATGTAACAATTTCTTTTCGATATATCGATAGCTTGGATGGATGTGCCGACTAACATTAATAATGTAATATGATATAATATAATATAATATTAACATTATTCATCATATAATTATGGAAAACCGGATAATGAAACATTTATGTATTAGCAAGCAGTGGCAACAGCAACGGCATCAGCAGCACCAGCAGTACATACAAGTATTTTATCATCACTATTACAACTATAATAACATCATCGATATTACTTAAAAACAGTAATTCCATTATTATAGTAATAATTGCATCACCATCTCATCTTGAATTTTATTATTGTGAAAATCAATCATCTTTAATAACAAAAATAACATGAATTTAACTAATAAAAAAAAGAATCAAATTCTGCGAAAAGTATTCCACACCAGATGAAAGTTATACGACTTCTCGTTTACTATTTGGCTACGCGCGCTATATTAATTTTGGATTTATGCGAGGCGAGACAATTAGTTAATTTAAAATCCGGTAATAACCTAATTATTAGGTTATGTAACAATATCGCGGTTGATTAACGCGTCAACTTTAGAGCAAATTGGAAGATTTGTATCTCTTTGGAGGGGAGCTTTTATTATTCCATCCTACTTTGAAAAATTCCTTTTGATCCTGAGTAATGCTCGATTGAAAGATCTTTTTATGCGTGGTAGTAAAATAGAATAATAGTATTTTGACATGTTTCTCTCTCAGAAAACAGCCCGCGAATGCCAATTGATAATAACTTTTTTATTTTTATGTTCAATATATACGAAATGCACTATAAACTATTAAGTTAAAATTGTCCAAAAATGTAAATGCCCATTAGTCTATAATTTAGAGGGAGCATCGTATTAGGGAAATGCAGCAATATATACGATCTCGTGGCGAGTCCGGTTCTCTATCCAAAAAAGATTCGAACGGTGTTTTCTTTTGGTTCTCGGCATATGCAACACTTGTCCATTTTTCGCGAGCACGATTCGCAAGTAACACAATGAAAACAAGGAAGTATGGCATGTGAAATATTTTCACTATAGCAGATGCGACATCGCCAACACTCATCGAGGGTACCTTGCAACTCTTTAACTTTCTCGGTCAACTCATGATTTTTTTGTTTGTGCAAACGTTTGCTTTGACGAACGCTAGTCAGTTTGTTATTGAGGGTGCTTTTTTCTAACTGCAGTTCCTGGTTTTCGATTCGGAGCCTATTGTTTCGTTTCCGCATTTTGTGATATTCTTCCTCGATTTGGGTTTCCTGTTCGATTTTTTTGTCGTACTCTTCTCGTAAGAGTTGGTTTTGCGCTTCTAATCCTTGGATAGTGGCGAAAAGCTTTTGTTTTTCCGTCGTGGATTCCAACACAATAAGCTAAAAACAAGAGGATAAATTTGTTAAAATCATGTAAAAAAAAGGTGTATCAAAATCATAATCAAAGAGTATTTATCTACGTTTAGGCATTTGGATAATTCTTCAAGTTTTTCTTCGTATTCTTCTTTTATGAATGAGGAATTCGACGTATCGTTGTTCGTAGGGAAATTGGGATCCAGTAGTGTTGATGATGGTCTATCAAAATTGTTCATAGATATAGGATTGTTATCAAGAACTTCTTCGTATTGTCCTATTTGAGAGTGGTGCGTGTCATACGACGCTTTATTGTCATTATCATTATCATTATCATTATCATTATCATTATCATTATCATTATCATTATCATTGTCATTATCATTATCATTATCATTATCATTATTATTATTACTATTATTATTACTATTATCATTTAAAAATGCTATAGGGTAGTCATCATTATGATGATGATGATGATGATGATGATTTTCTGGCTGATTTAATATTGAACTTTGTGAGCTGCTTCCAGCCAAATGATTTGAATCTGAATAAAAATTTGTGATGGTTGATGATTCCGGTGGATAGCGTGCGTTCGATTCATATACAGGAGATTTGCCTTTGCCTTTTACAAAATGTTTATTATATGTGTTTGTCAAGGATTTTCCCTTCGTGAATTTGGATGAGGTGTTAAAGGTTTTTTGCTCTTGATCAATTGTGAAGATGGTATTATTATTATTATTATTCACGATGGATGGACTTTGCTTTTGTTCATTCATGGGAGTAGTATTATTATTCATGATGGATGATGGACTTTGCTTTTGTTCATTTATGAAGGCATTGCTCGTAGTGGATGAACTTTGCTTTTGATTAACAGCAGAGTAATTATTATTATTATTATTATTATCATTATCATTATTATTATCATTATTATTATCATTATTATTATTATTGTTATTATTATTATTATTATTATTATTATTATGCGTGATAAGTGGACTTTGCTTTTGATTAACAACAGGATAATTATTATTCGTAGTCGATTTGTTTTTTGATTGATGTTGATTTTGAGGAACTACATGAGAGTAATTAGTGATGGATGTTGAAGCAAGCTCATTTTGATTAGATGAAGATGAGTTGTGCCGAAGCGGCACCTTTTGCCTATTATTTCCCGCTCCATTTTCCAATAATTTGTTTGCGTTGGTTTTTGTGATTAAGGGATGGATATTGAACCCGGTATTTTCAAATTTAACATTCTCCGCCCATCGACTCCACGAGCATCGAGGCAAAGCAGAATTATCATAATAATTCCTACATAGGAAAATCAATTTCCCCGTAACTTTAGAAGTATCCAACACCACGGGTTTTCCGCAGTTACATTTGGGCGCAAAAAAATAACGCTTCGGGAAGGTATTATTAAGATTAAACCAGATGCAAAAGGTCAAATTGAAATAGGGACATTTGGATAGCTCTCGGTGGGATTTGTTTTGATTGGGGCGATCAGCTTTCGATAATATCTCGAACCATGGTTTTGCGTGGACGTGAAACGCACATATTCCGATATCTGCTTGCTGTGAAACAATGTCTCATAAATTTGGCCTTACGACGAACGCACGCATATATTTCTGAGGAGAAATTTACCTGACTACTGGAAACGTCATTCTCGAATGGTGGTTTCAAGACTTGCTGCCACGGGTTCACGTGTCGATAGTGGCATTCGTAAATTAATCCTCTGTCCGTGTATGCCACGGACGCTGTGAGGTTGCAAAAACACCAAGGGACAGGTTGCGTCTTTTTATAGTTCTCCGAATGCTGAAGCTGACGTTGTTGCATTTTTTCAAAATGTTCGACGTTGGTGACTAAATAAATTCGAAGGTAGGGGAAGCCGGAATATATACGATATTCGGTCCGATTTGCAATAATGGTATAATTTTGGTTACTGACTATCGAGCATGATTTCCCATACTGTACCACATGTTTTTTAAACTTTGGGAAGTGAGAAATAGAGGACTAGCGCTAGTGCCCGTAAAATACAACAACTGCCTGGCGTATCTTGCACATAATCAACATCATTATTACAATGTACTCTTTTATTAATTTAAGGGAATTCAACGATGATTTTTGGCGCGTAAATAATGTGGAATCATTGATTTGGTTAGCTAAAAACAATGGCACGAAATTACATTGTATTTCTGTTTAAAGAAAAGGCGCCTCTTTTTTTACCTGTGAAAGGGGATTCTTTTTAAAGTCCGATGAGATGAATAAATAACCCACAATGGGATATGCATAGCGATAATCGGGACAATGGGACAATGGACAATGATCACACGTGATTTTTTATAATTGATGGCGTCAACTTGGCTGATTTTCCAAATCATTTTTTCAAGTAT